TCTTTCATTATTCCTTAAAAAAGATTTTAGGGAATAATGTTGGTTTTTCTGGATAAATATTAACTTATAACCCAAATTACCTAGATTTCATCAGCTTGTGATATCAAGATAAAGATACCACATTCTCACTGCTTTATTTATAGAGGCAGGGAGTTGACAGATATTACGTTCTTCTTCATTGTGTATATGCAAGTTATCTTTGTGCAAGGGACATGGAGACCTTTATGGCAATTGCTTCAGAACAATGATTAAGAGTTATAATAGATTCTCAGCCTTTTGGCTAAGATTAAGTGAAGAGTTACAGACTCTTTTTTTTTTTTCTGCATTGCTTGAGAGAGAAAAATTATGAAGAAGGAAAATCCTTAGGAATAGATATCAGTACAAGAGTTTTCTGAGGGTCTCCTGTAATACCACTGTATTTTCTTGCTGATCTTTCTTATATTAAATATATAGGTTTGTTTGTTTGCCCTATAATGAATTTTCTTTTTAATTCTATTCATTCCTTTAAGTATAAAATAATTACCTAATAATGCTATTATTTATTAAATGACTGCTCTGTACCAGGCATAATGCTAGATACTTTATATTATCTCATTTCATCTCCACAACAACTCTATGGAGTATATGTATCATAATTCTATTTACAGATCTAAAGTGGAGGCTCAGAATACTTTTAATAAGCTATGGTTGCTGTTAACAAGCAGTAGAATTAGGATTCCAACGTTTCCAAAATCAGCACTTTTTATGACACTAATTTCCAGCAATCATATAACCTATAAATAACAATAATATGTACCTTTATTATACCACTTACATTTTCAGGAACATAATTAAATAATAGCTATATCAAACATCCTTTTTGTATTCCCGATTTTATTAAGAAAGCCATTTGTTAGAAAAATTAACTGGGTGTCATGGCACATACCTGTAGTCCCAGCTACTCAGGAGGCTGAGGCAGGAGGATTGCTTGAGCCCAGGAGTTTGAGGTTGCTGTGAGCTAGGCTGATGCCACTGCACTCTACCTGGGGCAACAGAGTGAGACTATGTCTCAAAACAAACAAACCAAGGGCAACACACGTAACCTAAACGTATGTACACCCATAATTTGCTGAAATAAAAAAACAAAACAAAACAAAAAAAAAACAAACAAACAAAAACGAAAGCCATTTGTGTGTCACCATTAAATAAGCTAATAGCTATTACTAAGAAAAATAATGTTTTTATTAAATTTCTTGAGCAATATTTAAAAGGTATTTAAAATATAGTGATCACCATGTACACAGAACACAACTTAAGACTTAAAACAACAGAAGATCTTTACATACCTTTCCTTGATCATATCATATATCACCCCATCCACCTCCCAGAGGTAATCACTTTTAGAAATTTGAGGTTTCAAGATAGTTATTCTTCTTCCCCCCAGCTTTATTGAGATATAATTGATAGATAAATAAAAATTGTATACAAAAACTCCTCAACTTACACTGGGCTTAAGTCCTGATAAACTCGTTAAAAGTCAGTCAGAATGCATTTAATATACCCGCCCTACTGAGTATCATAGTTTAGCCTAGCCTGACCTTACACTGGCCTGCAGTTGGGCAAAATCACCGGGCAGCACAGTGCACTGCAGAGCATCCCTTGCTGACCCTCGTGCTCACGTGGCTGGTCGGGGGCTGGGGCTCCCTGCTGCCGCCCAGCATCATGAGAGAGTATCGTACAGCGTATCGCTATCCCTGGAAAAGATGAAAATTCAAAATTTGAAGTATAGTTTCTATCAAATGTGTATCTCTTTTGTGCTATAGTAAAGACGAAAAATTGTAATTTGAACCATTGGGGACTATCTGTGTATTCAAAATGTACAAGATGGTATATTACCACAATCAAGTTAATTAACATATCCATCACCTCACGTAGCCGTCATGTTTTTGGTGTGTGGTAAAAATACTCAAAATTTGCTAAGAGAGTCCATCTTAAGGATAGTTATTTTCTATTATTAGTTCAGTTCATACACACACACACACACACACACACACACACACACACACTGGATGACACTCTCAAGTTAGGATAATTTGAAGAGGGTATATTTACAAAAGGACATTTTATTAATACGAGGTGTGGATGTGGGAGAACCACTGTGGGAGGTGTAGTAGCCTGGAGTTGACAGCAACCAAGTTGTCCATTTTTAAAGGAGGAGGAGAAGGAGCAGTTTCCAGGATCTGGAAGAAGAGAGGGTAGTAAAGGACTGGCTTCCGTGGGAGGAGCAGTGACATCTGTGGGTGCCCAGAGCACAGCTAGGTCAAAGTGACCTTCCAGGGAGAGAGCCAGCGGAATAAACTGCCCAACCTCACTGAACTCTCTCCGCAGCCTCTCTCCGCAATGGCCAAACCCACCTAGAAGGTGGAGGATAAGGGAGCCCTTTAATGTGGCCTGTAAAGGTCAACTTCCTGAAACAGAGGGCGGGTGGACAAGGGAAGAGAAAGGTAGAGGAGTGTGGTTCTGCAGGGACCAATGGAAGTTTTCTGGTGCAATCATGTCTAGTTTGTAAAGTGCTCTTTTAAGAATGAAGAAGGAGTGATAAGTGCATTTTATTTTTAACTTAGACTGAGATAATCTTATATTTAAATTTTCTATGGTAAGCTGCCAGGTCTGGGCAGGAGCAGTGCCTAGGTTGAGGGCTGCAGCTGTACAGCCCTGAGACAGTTTTAGGAGACCTGAAGCTAAGACTATTAATCAATTAACTCAACAAATATTTAATGAATCCTATTTTGAGCCAGGCATTGCTCTTAGCAAAACTATTGATAACTCAGTGACAAAACACAATCCCAGCTCTCCTGGAGTTTAGTCTTGTAGGAGAGACAGACTATAAACATATAGCATATATATAACACATATAATATTTCTAGTGATGATAAGGCCGGGAAGAAAAATAAGGTGGAGTAGAAGGCTGGTGAGGGATAGGACAGTTGTAGGCCAGAGAGTGCTATTTGAGATGGAGTGGTCGGAAAGCCCTCTCTGTTAAGGTGACATCAGAGTCCCCAGTGAAGCCAGGGACTGAGCAGTTCTGATAATTGGGGAGAGCTTTTAGGCAGATCTTCTAAATGAGTCATCAATTTGTGGGGCCAGCATGGGAGAATATAAGTACATGGCCAGGAGGCAGAAGCTAGGGAGATAAGAAGACTTTGGTAGTATATCTTTAAGTTTTCAGCTTTTTCCTCGTTATGCTTCCTCAAGATGACTTAGAAAATTGAAGTTTGACTGACATATATAAGTCTTTGTTCACCATTACTGGGACAAATTTTAAAATGCACCCTTTTTCATTCTATGGGTAATTTTCACTTCAGTTTCTTCCACAGGCAGTTGTCTCAAAGTGAGTAAAAGTAATATTCATTTGGAAAGTATAGATAAAATTTTTTAAATATACTTTGAGGAAGCTGGGAAAGTGCACAAGTTTGAGGATGGGACAATGCATGGCTTTGAGTGCTGGGTGGAGATGCCATTTGCGGTTTAGGACCACATTTGCTTTCATTTAGTGATGAATACAATGTCTGGCATTTGTTAGGATTAACTGTCCTCGGAAGTAGCGAAGGTTAAAGATAAAAACACTGAAGAAGGGAGAAATCAAGTAACTTGGCCAACATCCCCCAGCTATTAAGTGGGAAAGCAAGGGTTCCAAACAAGGCACCTGTGTCTCTCACGCTCAAGCCCATCTGCACTCTGCTGACTACCTCCCAACACAATGGCGAGAGCTCTCCAACAGGGTCTGGCCTCCCTCCAGTTGATCTTTCTAAAATTAAGTTCTGATTTAATTACTCTCTTGCTGGAGCAGTTAGGGATTACTTTTAGCTGCATGTAACAGAAAATCCAAATAACAGTGGCCTGATCATATAGGGGATTTTTTTCCTTACATCACAAGAAGTTGGAAAGCAGGTAGTCCTAGGAAGTATGGCTGTTCCATGGCTCATCAAGGAACCAGGTTTCTTCTGTCTTCCTGCTCTGTCATCCTTAGTATGTGGCTCTTTTCTCCAGGGTCTCAAGATGGCTCCTACTCCTCCAGGCATGGCAACCAAGATCCAAACAAGAGGGGGAAAAGTCAAACAGAAGACAGTGCAAGTCCCTTGAGTTTGTCCCTCTTTGTTAGGAAAATAACTGTGTTCCTGGAAATTCCACTAGTAGACTTGTGCTTGCATCTTACCGGCCAGAACTATGTGTACAGTATTGTATGTAAGAGCTATGTCTGTGGCCACTCATAATTGCAAGGGACCTGGGAAACCATGATCTTTAATAGGCATATCGCCCCTAATAAAATAAGAATCCTAATAGTAAGGAAGAAGGAGAGAATGGATTTTGTGCAAGCCACCAGCAGTGTCTGCCACAATTGCTTAAAAATTCTTCTTTTCCCTTATTATCCCACAATAAAATCCAAATCTCTTAGCATGGCATCTAGGGTCCTTTGTGACCTACTCTGGCTGATCTATCCTGCCTGACCTAACCACCATAATTCTCGGTCATAAATTACCAGTCACCTGCCTCCACGCCTTCGAACATTCTGTTCTCTCATCCCTTTTGCCTCACATCATCGTATTTCTTTTGTTTCCTCCAAACACCATGTCTTTCCTGCCTAGCTGGAGGATTACTTGCTATTTGAAATTTGCTTTGCAAGCAGACCAGGTACTCCTTCCTGTATACTGCACCTTGAAGCCATCTCTGTCAATCATCCATTTAGTCGGCGTGAAGTTGTATGTGTGTGTATCCCTGACATGACTGAGAGCTTATGGGTTCCTTAAGTGTAATATGAACTAGGAAACAAATTGTTCATCTTAAGCCATCATCTCAGCAGATACCGCTTGACCCAAGTGAATGTAACCCTTTGTTTTAATTTTCCTTTGATTTGTGGTGCACTCTGTGTACCTGGACCTCACATTTCTATTTCAGTGATGCTTTTTAAAAGACATTTTTGTTATTAATCCACATTTGTTCCCATTTGGTTCTAGTTGTTGAAATGGATGAAAACAATGGGCTTTTACTTCTAGAACTGAATCCTCCTAACCCCTGGGATTCAGAGCCCAGATCCCCTGAAGATTTGACTTTTGGAGAAGTGCAGGTAAGTAAATATTACAATTATAATATTCTTAAAAACAAAAATATAACTAATATGTCCATTATATATACACACACCCACCCACCCACACGCACACACATAAATCCTATATTACCTTAAATCCTCTTTGAGGTGGCTAGTTAGGACATATGATAAAGTCATTCTGAACTCTTAAAGCAAATTCTTTAAGGAACTCCCAGAACTTGGCAGTGATTGCAAGGAAATCTTTATAGGGAAAAAAATACAAAACTTTAGAGGAGGTCTGGAAGGTGAGTCATGCAAAACTATTGGAGGAAGTTCCAAAATTACCCTTAGTGCCAGATCATTGTTGGATAGAATAGCTAGTTGTACATTTCTGCATGTTGTCCTAAGATCTTTTACAAACATCCCTGTGAATTTTCCCAGCTTTAGAAGAGAGTTTCCTCCAGAATAAACAGTTCAGAAGAGGCAAACAACCAAAAATTTATTTTTCTGGGTATTTAGGAACCTCGTGTTCTTTGGGCAGTTACTCTTATAAGGAAACAAATGGGCACCCACCCACAATGGACGTAACAAAAACTGATTTGATTCCTTGACCTCTCCTCACCCACTTTGCTGGCTTTTCACGCTGGAGTTTCTGCTACCTTATCTCAGTTTCTTGATACACTCCTTTCCCATGGATGTGCCAGGCCATGGCAAGGGAATGAAGGAAGAATTTGGAATTTCCTGTCTGTGCCTGTCTCTAAGTGATTGTTTGTAGCCATTCTCATATGACCTTGATATCCTGAAAGGGTGATTATTTGGCAGGTAATTTAAAAGAGAAAGCCTCGCAAGCCTGGCTAGTTTCCACTTCAGTCTGCATAGCTATGTCAACCCACCGAACTCAAAAGAATCATTCATTCATATTCCTATTAACAGCCACTGTGGCATTTAAATCTCCAAATGCATGCCATAACAACTCTAACTGCCTTCCTTTGTAAACTGTGCTTTGAAGGACTAGTCACAAGAGATATTCTGCATTGTAGACCATAAATATGTATTTAGGAGCTAATTTAAATAGAGTAAAACTAGGTAAATCAATTGGTCTGATACCTGAAACCAACCATGAGAATTTCTCTTCTGATAAAGCCATCATGACCTGTGCTGGGAATTGTGTTCTATGAAAGGCTCCTGTTGAGTTGTACTTGAGTCCAAGATTTTGCCTGACCATGCTTAGGAGCGAATTTCTCCAACCTGACATATCAGCTAACCAGGCCAAACCTTTCAGTTCATTGTTGCTGACCAGTACTGATTCGATAATAGAAATCTCACTCTCTTTTAACAGGTAACATATCTCACTCATGCCTGCATGGATCTCAAGTTGGGAGACAAGAGAATGGTGTTTGACCCTTGGTTAATGGGTCCTGCTTTTGCCAGAGGATGGTGGTTGCTACATGAGCCTCCGTCTGATTGGCTGGAGAGGCTGTGCCAAGCAGACCTAGTTTATGTCAGTCACATGCACTCAGACCACCTGAGGTAAGGAAGCCCTGAGTGCTCAGCTCCTAAGGGAAAGGCTCGGTTTGAAGTAGGTTCAGTTGGGATGATGGAAAGAGGACTAATACAAACAAATATTTACATTCGCTTAGCAATTTTATACTTTTAAAAGTGTTTCCACACTTTACACCTTTGGAAGTGAGGAAGGAGCTATTGTGGAAAGGAGGGGGTGGTTACTAACCTTCTCTACCCTCTTCCACCCCCACCCTAAGGCCACTTGGTACAAGTCTAGGCTTAAGAGTAATCAAAGTTGATTTCCTTTTTCAGTTCAACGTTTATAGTAGGAATCAGCACACATTTTCTACAAAGGGCCAAAGTGTAAATATTTTAGGCTTTGCAAGCCATACAGCTGGTGTCGCAATGACTCAACCCTGCTGTTGTAGCACAAAAGCAGCCACAGAGTAATCCTGAATGAAACTGTGTTCTAATAAAACCTTGTTTATGGAAATGACATGTGACTATCATATAATTTTCGTGTGTTACAAAATTTTATTGCCCTTTTGATTTTCTTTACAACCATTTAAAAAGGTAAAAACCATCCTTAGCTTGCAAGATTGTACAATAACAAGATTAGGTTGGATTTGGCCCACACACTGTGGGTTGTTAACTCTTGGTTTATAGCATCCTAACACTGAGCTCCCTGCTTATTAACCCTGAGTCAACCTCATCCAACACTTCATTGAAACCAGAGCAATACAATACTGATGATATGAACCGAAACTTCCCTAACCCAGACAATGGAAAACGAGGGGAAAAGGAAGGAGAACTTTCACTTAAGAGACTACACATATTTACAAATGAACAGAGTTATCAAAAGAGGGAGTATCATATTCCAAATTCCTTTGTTTAATTATAGCGTCATGTTTCCTCATCCTTGTTTTGAAGTTTTTATCACTTCCGCTGGGTTGCTAATATAAACACAAGCAATGCCCACAATGTTCTAATGAAGCAATTTCAATTTTTTTTTCTGTTACCCTCCAGACTAAGTTTACATGTAGGACATACTTCAGACGAAATGTCCATGATTAGGGATAATATGTTGGCTGTTGGTTAACTTGGTCTTTGATTTTCTGTTCAAAAACATATGAAAACTCTAAGGCATGAATATGCTGGGCTTTTTTTTTTTGTCTTAAGGAAATGGTTTAAAAACTTAATTAACTGATTTATTAACAAATTAGCTGTAACAGACTTCCTAATTGATCACAACCCACTAGGGTATAGTGGTACTATTAATACAATTAAAAATCTACTTTATATGAGGCCTTTGTCCCACACAACTTCTTGGAACTACATTTGCGTAATTTCAGGATTGTAAGAGTCCTAGATTCATGCATTGTGTTATAACAGTAATGTGTGGTAGTAATTTTGTATAGCTTGTATTAGGATAACAATATTACATAAATGAAGTGATTGCTTTATAGTGTTTGTAAGATGCAATTGCCTAAAGTCCTAATGAGAGACATTCTGTGGGAATACACTGAATTTTAGGGAAAGTAAGAACTTTTTAAATGTCATTTAGTTGAGTTATTCCCTAACCACTGGCCTGAAAATCAATTTAATTTTAGTTTCAAGGGCTTGTGTGAGCAAAATTGTCGTGTATTAACCTCAATTTTTAACTATAGTATCACAACACATTGGTTATACAATGTGTTGCAGATAGTTTATTACTGAAAAGTTGCTGGAGCTTGTAATTTTTATTCCACTGAATTGATTTCCTTTGGCCCCCTACCTTTCAACTCTTGCCTAGTCAACTAATAAACATTGAGGTCATTTGCCCCCATCCTCCTGTGTTTTATATACTGAATAAAACCTGCCTGACTCACAAAAATAAGGGAAAAGATGAACATATTTCAGTGAATAGTCTTTATTCAAAGAAATGTAATTTTATTATGTAAATATAGTATTGTATTAGATGATGTTATTATTAAATGCCAGTAAGAATTATCAGCAATTAAAAAAAATCACAAAGCAATAAACATTCATTTTAGAGTAATTTAACCTAACTCCCAAAGTCATTTAAAATGTAAGCTTCAGTTGCTGAACCCAGAGATTGAAGGCACAAAGAATCCTTGATTTTTTGAATCCTTCGTTTCTGGGGAGAAAACCTACTGATTCCCTTCCTCCCTCTCCTGCCCACCTACTGCCCCCACCTCACCCCCGCTGCCAGGTTCTACTTAACTGAATATCGTTTAACACAGGGCTGGAACTTGAATATTAGTACAGCTCATAACTGCTGATATACAGGTTTTGTGGGGTTTTTTTTAATGATTATATATTTTATTTCATCTGACATTACACTTTATGTACAAGTCTGATTCTTAAACCAGATAGGACATTTATTAAAGTTAGAAACTGTCTTCTAATAGAAGTAGTACTAGGTTTATAATCAGAAGCCTCGAATTTGAATACCAATTTACTATTTGTTGTATATTTCTGAAAGTTTCCTCATCTGCAAAAAAACAAAAAAACCTGAGAACTTTATTGTAAGAATCAAATAACATAGTATGTGAGAGTGCCTAGCACTGTGTTTGAAATATGATAGGTATCTAACCTTTCATTTGTTTATTCATCTTTCTACGATATACTACAGTGGTATAAAAATCCTTTTTTATAATGAATGCACAGTAAATAAACATCGACTTAATGTGTGTAGGCATTCAAAGTATTTGGATGATTGATTATGTACTGAATTGGGATTACTGTAATGTTGAATGTAGTTTTCCTCTCCACTAAATTTTACTGTCTTGCCTAGCTGGTAACTCTGACCCTCTTTAAGGATAAATAATACATCTGTATATCAAAGTGTGGCTTGAAAAGGTTGAAAAACTGACCTCCCAAATGGTCGTGACCCACAGATTCTTCTTATACTATGTCCCAGTCCTCTCTTTAACTACTAATGGAGGAATACGAAGAAATGAAGCTCATGGAGCTCTTCGCCTGCCAGCAACCTCGACAGCATGACATTTTCTGCCCTGTGCCTTCTGTTAGAACTACCGCTACTCAAAGCAGCATTGGTGTGGAGAAGGAACTCGTGTACTTGGTTGATGTACACACCATGGTAGAGAGTATGTTCTAACAGTAGAGATGAATCTCCTAGGAACCTGCCCTCACCATCACAGTGAGCAGAAACTCGTCTCTGGACTCTGATGAGAGTCTGCTTTTCAATTCCCTGCTTCTCAGTCAGTGTGTCAGTAAAAGAAGCAAACTGTCTCTCATACTAGATGGCCCTTATTTTTTTTACCTTTCAACCTTTCTATCCCTCTAATCCTAGTTACCCGACACTAGAGAAGCTTGCTGGGAAAAGACCAGATATTCCCATTTATGTTGGAAACACAGAAAGACCTGTATTTTGGAATCTGAAGCAGAGCGGTGTCAAGTTGACTAATATCAATGTAGTGCCATTTGGAATATGGCAGCAGGTCAGGAATCTCTTTTCTTTCCATACTTTCCGGTTATGCTTTCTGGGGTAAATTTTAGGTGAGGTAGTCACCTTAAGATTCAGGAGAAATAATGGCCAATATGGTCTGTCCATGGCACTGTGTAAACACAACTTTTATTTGAACTTCAATGTTGGGCAGACTGTCCTGGGTAAAGATGGTGTTCTTTCCACTTACCAGTAGTGTAACTCTAGGGACAGGTAATAAATCCAGTTGTCAATAAGGGGGTTCTTGCAGAGGTGGAAAACTGCGGCCTTCTGATTTCAAGATTCTTTTCTAAGCACCAAAGGAGGGAAGAAAAGCTTCATTTTTCTCTGCTGCACCCCTTTTAATAAAAGGATTTGTTCTGCAAAATTTGGATTCAGTCAAAAGGCCACACTTAAGGACCTAGAAGGCCACATTTTGCCTTAAGGCCACAGGTTCCTCACCCCTCTTTCCAGAACAGGTGATAACCGTCTCAAATATTAATTAAAAGCAAAACTGACATACCCAGTTGTTGGTTTTATTGTTAAATTCCAGGTAGACAAAAATCTTCGATTCATGATCCTGATGGATGGTGTTCATCCTGAGATGGACACCTGCATCATCGTGGAATACAAAGGTACTTTTTCATCCTCGTAAAAAATGAAAAATCCTCTTGGTGGGAAGACTAGTAATAGCTATCTAAAATTTCATCCTATGTTCATCTTCTTTCATCTTCATTTTCAGAGAACATAGTGTATTATATCCTTGTCTTTGAAAATTGAGCTATCTTTCAGATTGATAATAAATTACCAATGATGTAGACTGTGTAGTGACAAGTGCAAAGCTTTTTTTCAGAAGGCAGCAGATATTTTATATTTTACCCATAGCAATTTCTTCAACACTACATTTATTAAATAAATGACTTTTGTTACTTTCACCATGAAATATTATCATGTAATATAATCATACACTTCTGCTTTTCCTGTGAAAAGATGGCCTTACTGCCCCAACAATCATTCGAACTTGGGCTTTGCATGGAATTTGCAAAAGGTAGAAGGATTTTTGTTGATCCAGTCACTCTTCCCTAATTCTCTGGGCCCAACATCTAAAGATGGTTGATTGAAGAAAGCAATCTATTTATGATCCAGAGTAGAATTAAGCTAAATGTCTTCATGAAACACTCAGAATCCACCAAGCCAAATGGAACGAATTCTGAAAATTCAGAATATGCTCTTGAAGATTTTAGGTTTTGAAATCTTACTCTCTTTGTTTTTCCTTGGACATAAGCAGTTCTTCTATAAACAGGTAAGTCAGATTACACAGACTTTGTCAGCTTGGAAATTCAAACCATGGTGTTGAAGATTTCACCTTTAATACCCATACCACTTTGTTTCTCCACAGGTCATAAAATACTCAATACAGTAGACTGCACCAGACCTAATGGAGGAAGGCTGCCTGAGAAGGTTGATCTAATGATGAGTGATTTTGCTGGAGGAGCATCCGGCTTTCCAATGACTTTCAACGGTGGAAAATTTACTGGTAATATTTTATATGAAAGTAATACCAAGCATCAGGCATGGCACTTTGCTAAATGCTGTGAGAGCAAATGCAAAAGTAATGGAGACATGGTCCCTCCCCCTAAGAAGCTTACCACCTCATTGGGGGAACCAGACTTGTAAGCAGCAGATATTACAAACTAAAGTTTGCGGCTCAAAATGCCATGATGGAGCATAAAGGAAACACTGAGATGAGGGAGCACCTCAAGAAGAGCCATGACAAAGAGTCATTGGATTCACTGTGCAGACCATAGAGCAGAATAGGAAAGGTTGGAAGTTGGTCATCCAGGCTTCAGTGATCTTGGCTGTGTGCAACTCAAAGTAGACACAGTCCCTTAGCCCTGTGACATCCTCACAGGGGAGCGGCGCAGCCACAAGAGGGCCCTCTGGGTCCAAGGGTGGTGTTGCTGGGGTTGGCACGAGGGAAAGTGTGCATCCTCAACACTAGCTTTGTAAGTATTCAGTATAGGTCCAATTAATAAATTAACATGTTTGGCAAGTGATTGTGGCAGAAAATGCGCTACTTGCATTATGAGGCTAGTCTCTGTCCCGTTCCTTGCTTTCTTCTACAGGTCTGTATTCATTGCCTCCCAGAGTGTGTAACCACATGTGAGACAGAGGGAAGGTTCTGTCCTTAAGGAGTTAAAAGTGTGCAAAAATATACTTATTTAAGGTTAACTAGCATAATCCCATTCTTGTTTGAGTGTGTATGTGAGTGAAGCATGCACATGCATTAAAAAAGGTCTAGAATATACCAAAATGTTAATAGTGGTTATGTCTGGGTAATGGGTAACTTTAATTTTTTCTGTGTCCGTATCTGTATTTGTCAGATTTTCATAATAACAATAATAGTAACAGCTACTTGATCCTGTGACCTATATGTTCTGAGTCCTGCCTAATTCCTCAAGTTCATTTACTGCCTGACTCTCCAATGCTTGCTATATGTCAGCCCACATAATTCTGCTTTTTGTTTCTCAGACCCTAAATATCAAGTGCGTGTGTGTCCTGGGTCTTTGCACTTGCTGTTTCCACTTCCTGGAATGTTCTTGGCTCTGATATCCACATACATGGTGGGCAACTTTATATCCATCTCTTGACTCAAATGCCATCTCTTCTCTGACCACCCTAGTGATGGCCTCCATCCCACCCCATGTCACCCCAACCACTCTCTGTCCTATTGCCCTATTCTATTTTCTTTGTGGCATATTGCTAAATAAATGACTTTATTTATTTACTTGTTCATTTTTGCTTCTCTCACTAGAAGGAATGCTCCATGAGAGCAAGGACCTACTTTGTCTCATTCACCTCTTTATTCCAGTGCCTAGAACCACATGTGGCACATAGTAGGTGCACAGTAAACATTGGTTGAGTGAAAGAATGAGCAAATAAACAACCCCGTGAGGTAGGCATCGTGATTCCATTTACAGAGGAGGAACCATAGGAGAAGTTAGGGAGTTTGCTCAAGGCTGCACAACGAGTAAGTGATGGGTCACGATTTTGATTCTAAGACTAACTGACTCCAGTGTCGTACTCTTAATCACCGTGCATTGTCAGGTTATGTTGAACATGCCTTATTTTATGATCTGCTAAAATAATATTTAATAAAACCATTTCCATGTTAGTAAAGAGTGAATAACGTCAACAATTACGGTGCCCTTAAAAAGTGTGTGCACTCAAGGTAAGATTATGCTGCCCTGTGTCTTCAGCTAGGGTCTCAATGGATTGGCACGTACAAGGGGAAAGCTCAGTGCCATTACCTTTGGGTGGCCTGGTAACATTTTCCTAGTAACCAACTGAAATTTGCAAGATAAAGGTGGGGGAAATTTTCTACTTAATGACACAGAACTTTGTTCTATTTCTGCCTTAGTTATCTGTCAATTTTATCTCCTGAAAAAATTCCAATCTGCTAGAACATTTGTTTTTCTGTGATTTCTGGGAAGAGGAAACTCTAATCCAAATTCTGCCATTTCAGAGGAATGGAAAGCCCAATTCATTAAAACAGAAAGGAAGAAGCTCCTGAACTACAAGGCTCGACTGGTGAAGGACCTGCAACCCCGAATCTATTGTCCCTTTGCTGGGTATTTTGTGGAATCCCACCCATCGGACAAGTATGGCTAGACATTTTGGGCAACATTTTTACACATAAGTTAAAGTATGGCAGAGTGAGTGACTTTGCTGTAAGTGCAGTGTGACATGAGAAAGAAAGTGATTAATAGGAGTCTAGAACTTTTTGACAAGTCGTTAAAGAACAGAGCATGAATAAAAGCCACACTTGGCAGCCAGAGTTAATTTAGATAGATACTCTCTGAAAGGATCCTGGAAAAGATGAAGGCAGCTGATACTTATTATGTGCCATGAAGTGAACTGGGGCTTTTAACTAAATCATCTAAATTAATCCCCCAATGGCACTGTGAGGAAGGTGGGACTATGCCTTTTATCAGATGGAGACTTGAGAGGTGTCAGTAAACTGGGAGGGCCTAAGGGACTTGCCCAAAGTCACCCTGTTGGAAACACGAGTTGAGAAGAATCCTGGTATGCTTAGTTCCAAAGCTCTTTTCTCTATACCATACTGCATCCCAGAATAGTATTGTGTCATTACTAAATTGAAGTTGTCTTCTCATATTTTGGGGTATCTTATGTGATTTCTCTTGTAGTAATATAACTTCTGCAAATGATGTGAATCATCACCAATTCATGGAACTGTTGAAAGAAATAAAAGACAGTGAATTTGATGATTTGTGCTCTTTGCCAAAGCTTCTTGGTTAAGTCACTGAAGACCTATATTGTTAATTCCAATTCAAGATTTTCTTGTGACAAAAGAAATTCTTGCCATATATTTAGGAATCAAAGACAGAATCTGGCAGTGTGGTTTATGTTTTCTCATTGATATCACTATGCATATCAGAAAGCTAAATTCGAAGCTCTCATGAAAGGAAAAGTTTATTTGTGTCATAGTTATATAAGTATAAGCATTGTATTAGTTTCCTAGGGCTGTCATAACAAAGGAGCACAAATTGCGTAGCTCAGAACAACAAAAATGTATTGTCTTATAGTTCTAGAGGTCAGAAGTCTGAAATCAAGGTATGGGCAGGGCCATACTAAAATTACTAGGGAAGAATCTGTTCCAGGACTTTCTCCTAGCTTCTGGTTGCCTAAGACTTTCCTTGGCTTGTAGATGGCCATCTTTTTCTTTGTGTTTCTTCACATGGCATTTTCCCTTTGTGCAAATCTCTATGTTGTCCAAATTTTTTGTTTTTATAAGGACATCAGCCATATTGGATTAGGGTCCACCTACATGACCTCATTTTAACTTCATTACATCTTTAAAGACTCTATCTCCAAATAAGATCATGTGCTGAGGTACTGGGGGTTAGGACTCCAACACGTCATCTTTGAAGGGAAAACAATTCAACCCAAAACAAGTAATTATGTTAAAATTGAAACTTTTCTTAGCACAAATTAATATTAATGATTTTGCACATTTTTTTAAAATAGGCCAATATGCATATTTTAAATTGCCAGCATTAAAATTCACTGCAAAATTGCAAGAAAAATTTGAAGACTGTTTCATTAGTCTTGATAATTTATAATTGCATTTTGGTTTATGTAATATCATTTGAATTCAATATTAATATTAATGAGTTGACACAAGAGTTAGTGAATCAACTGAACTTGGACAGACATAATTTTGAAACTGATATGCTTTTGCTTCAAAGTCAAAGCAATCCTTTTAAAAAATGAACCAGTTGTGTCAAGTTGGATTTGAATATTTCATGGAAATAAATTTTTAGTACTTGATTCCTTTATTGGAAAACTTTTAAGTATGTATGAAACAACTGGAGCATGTTAATCTAATTTTTGAATTATAGATTTTATGAAATCTAAATATAGATCAAGTATTTCTGATGAAAAATTAGTATCTGGATTGAGATGTATGCTATATTTAAAAGATGCCTTGGATTCCGAAGACTTGATATACAAAAAAGTGTGCATGATATTTCTTAATAATTTTTAAGAATTTTATATTGAAATAATATTTTGGTTGAATTGAATTCAATAAAGTCTATTCATTTTCCCTTTTACTTTGTAAATGTCGCTACTAGAAAATTTAAAATTACATACATGGCTTGCATTATATTTCTGTTGGACAGAGTTCAGCTTGAGAGTTTAATAATTTTGGGCATCACAGACCTATTAATAAAATAGAATCTCAGCTATATAGAACTTCCAGGAACTTGGGCATTCTGGATAATGAAACCATGCTAGGTAGCAAAGTTTTCTGGATACCTATGATTTATCAGACATGAAAGTTTTATGATTTGGTAGAAGTATCTTCTCAAAAAGAATATTCGAATATAATTTATCTTTTCTTGATACCATGGAATCATCATTTAAAAGTTTCAGAATCTGATGTAATGGTTTAATTACCCTACAATCCACTGAAGAATATTATTGCAGGATATTGTATAGTCCACTGAGCTGTTTGCCCCTGCACTAAATGGCCCCAGGCAGTAAAACATTATGTCTATTTGTTTTGGTTTTGCTAAGAGGTTGTCAGTCATCATTTTCACTGCTATAACAAATTTTTACCAGCAGCCTCCATCCTACTTTTTGATTTGCTGTTTCTAGTTATCTAAGTAATTAAAAGTTAAAAATTGACTTAATGTCACTTCCTTGTACACAGACTCTGAACAATGCCCTGAGCAATTTTCTTAGTGAAAGACTTCTAGAAGCTTAGTACATAGATTATCAACTAAATTCATGATCATAAAATTCTGAACCAAATTCATGATTATGAACTTACTTCATGCATTATATTTGTTGTGCTGTAAAAGGTCCTCCTATTTTTAACTAGTCCTTAATTGTGTTCTCTATAACCAAGTCCCAGATCCTTGAAATGGTATTATATTTCACTACTAAGCAGCTAAATCAGTTGTTATATTTTTTTTTAAGTTTTTTTTTTTTTTGAGACAGAGTCCCACTCTGTTGCCCGGGCTAGAGTGCCATGGCATCAGCCTAGCTCACAGCAACCTCAAACTCCTGGGCTCAAGCTGCCTCAGCCTCCTGAGTAGCTGGGACTACAGGCATGTGCCACCATGCCTGGCTAATTTTTTTATATATTTTTTTAGTTGTCAGATTAATTTCTTTCTATTTTTAGTAGAGACAGGGTCTCGCTCTTGCTCAGGCTGGTCTGGAACTCCTGAGCCCAAACAATCTGTCCACCTTGGCCTCCAAGAGTGCTAGGGTTACAGGAGTGAGCCACCACGCCTGGCCATTTTTTAAGTTTAAAAAAAATTTTAGATATACTTTTTCCTAAGTAAATTTCTACTTTGAAGTATAGCACTTATTAAAAAAAAAACTTTTGAAAGTGCCAGATAAGCATAGATATAAAGTCAAGGAATGTGTTCTTATAAAAATCTGCGTAGCTTTAAAAATAAATCAAAAGCAATTTTCCCACAAGAAACAGCCATTAAAGGAGGAATGAAATTTAAGAGCTTTTGATCACACCATAGACATCATCTATTATCCTCCATTCATGCACATTTAACTATGAGGGATAAAAGGTAGAATAAGAATGATGGAGTTAGACAGCAAATGAAGGACTTAGTGAAACAGGGAAGGGTTATCTGTGTTAGGTGACAGTGGTGCCAGACCAGGGAATTAGCTTCCCCAACATTGCTAGAAGTTGATGGCCCTGAGAAACTACGGCTCTTTAGTTTCCTAAAGAAACTAGGAGTCATTAATAGTTAATCTGTCTCACACTCAATGTTGATGTAGAACTGAATCATAATCAGGTAATGTAACAAAAATGAGCTTTTCCATGGCCACTGAAGAAATAATATAGACATAATACAGAGGCTTCACTGAAGCAGAGGTGAAATCCAACATAGTTCACAACCAGTATGGCATGGGCACCAGTCAGAACGGATGCCAGGAAGTGTTGGGTCAGATCCTGGACACCTCTGTTTTCCCAACCTTTAATCCTCAAGTTGTTGGAATCTGGAGAGAGCCAGGAGGTCTTGGGGGAGAGTCAGGTGGCTGAGTAGTAAAGGGGGCACTCGGGGTCAAGAAAGCAGCTTTTAACCAGCTGGCACAGAATGATTTCGGTATTTTAACACTTACCAGCTAAATATTAGCTCTGTCCTTAAAGCAATGCACAAAGTGGGTGGAGAAGAGACCCTGCTGCCACTCACATCAGTCAGACCACATTATGTGGAAATACCTAAGAGGGAGAGAGATGGTTTTTCACATTTGGATTTTGGTCTTTATTTGTGGGAAAACAGAAATATAAGCAACCCCCGCCTTTTGCCATGTATATAAAAGTGCTTAGCACATTGCATAGTTCATAGGTCTGCAAAAGATGTTTAAAGTTTGAATCTCTGCTCTACAAGATACTCACAGTGGGATCCAGGGCTGACACTAATCTGAACTCCAATTTTATGTGAATTGGGCATAATAAGAATGATATTAAAGGGTTATTTTGAGAAGTATAGATAATAAATATCAAAGTACCTAGCATAATGCCCAAAGTATGAAAGTTTCTCAGGAAATCCCATTTTCTCCCTCCTTTCTTCTTTTCTTCCTTCCCTCTCTTGACTCTTTACCTAACAGTTCAGGGCAAAGGATTAAAAGCAAATTTTTGGGAAAATAGTTCTAAGATCAGTGAAATGATCTTCAGTATTTCAGCTTTGTATAGTGATAGCAATCAGGAAAACACAGAAGGCATTAGATCATATTTTCAAGGATAACTCATCCCATTGCAATCTATATCCTAAGAAGGCAAACAGAAGTCCCAGTTCCTACAAAGGCAAACACAGTGAACTCTTCCAAGTATCTCTGACCGAAGGCAACTAAAAACACTGGACAGATGCATGGAGCAGGTATGTGAGGCCTCTAAAAATTAAATGGGAGCAGACAGACTGGGGAAAGAAATGAGAAATTGAAGCGCCACTGAACGAGCAGTGATGCTCTAGTTTTACAAAATCCGAGATCTCCCAGGCTTTATTCAAAGACAGCCTGAAACTGGGACTGTGTACTGGTTGAGGCCAGAAGGAGCTCAAAAGAAGCCTTCCCTTTCTAGTCTGAAGAGCAGGAAAAGGGGACCCCATGAGTCAAGAGGCCCTTGGAAAGAGCAGGAAAGGGGGCCTATGAATAAAGTGGGGAAATCTTCTGGATTTTTTCTTGTTTTTGTTTTTCCATTTTTTTCCTGCCCCAGTACCGAGACAATCCCTCAGCAGAAGTGGTGACAAGACCAGTGGTAAAACTCCATGGGGAAGGAATCCTTCCCTTAGAGAAAAGTAATTTTGGTTTGAGTAATGTGGAGAGAATCCTTGTTGCTATGTTTTCTTTCTCTAACCTTTCACTACTTGGCCCCAGAAACATATGCAATTTTCAGAAAATGCTCAGCAGAACAGGGAGACTAAAAGCCCTGGCTTATCAACTAGAAGATAAAGAAAGGGACCCCTGGGAGGAATAAAATATTGGAGACAAAATATTGCAGACAGGAGGAGGCTTAAGAAAGTGAGCCCATAAAATTGTGAATAAATTCCTGAGTTTACCCCCAAGCTGCACTGTATATGTGGATCTGACCCTAAACAGGATATCAAAGTCTTTGAGAAACGAAGTACGGGATAGACCACTGCTCAGGTCTCACAGTGGTCACTAGATAGTACACATGGAGAACAGATCTAAACAAGACTACAAAAAAAAAAGCTATGAAAAATTGACATTGGAACCACAGCCCACAGAAAGTGCATAGGAACTGTAGTATGAATCTAATCTGCTAAAACAAAAACCTCAACCCTATCTATAGGATATAAACAAGACTCAGAATTTCATAAAGTAACACTCAAAATGTCCAGGATAGGCCGGGCGCGGTGGCTCACGCCTGTAGTCCTAGCACTCTGGGAGGCCGAGGCGGGCGGATTGTTTGAGCTCAGGAGTTC